TCATCGTGCGCGGCAACCTCACCGTGACCAAGTTCGCCAGCATCGTGGCCGAGCCCCTGCCGCTTGCGTGCTCCACCCCGGCCCCGTCGGCCACCGCGAGCGGGCAGGGCGCAGCCGGCGGTTCCTTCTGGACGGCCGGCGGCAACTCTGCAGCGGTGCAGGCCAGCGACCCGTCGCAGCACTTGCAGTCGCTCAGCGGCGGTGCTGCCGGCGGCGGCGACATCAGTGGTCAGGGCCGCGGCCTCGGTGGTGGCGTACTCGACATCTTCGTGGAGGAGCAGTTTGTCTTGTACGGACAGCTGCTTGCCAATGGCCAGGATGCCTCGACTGCGAGTGCCGGTGGTGGTTCTGGCGGCACCATCCGCATCGTGTGCCAGGAGTTTCTTGGTGGCGGGTCGCTGTCCCTTGTGCAGGCCAATGGCGGCACAGGGTCCACGTACGGCGGTGCTGGTGCCGGTGGCGAGGTCATTGTCGAGGCAGCAGTCCGCACTTACCCTTCGGCCCTCATCCAAGCCCACGGCGGCCTCACACGTGCGTGTATTCTCTGTGTGTATGTGTTTGTGTGTATGTGCGTGTAGCGTGCGAGAGAGTGTGTATCGTGCGAGCGTGTGTGTGCGTGTGTATCGTGTGCGTGTGTGTGTGTGTACATCGTGTACGCGTGCGCTCGCTGTGGAAGTTCAAGCAACTGCCATCTCCATGTGCTATGTACCAAGTACTTGCCATGTCCTTGGAGTGCCTGACTCACACAATTGCACACACAATTGCACACACAATTGCACACACAATTGCACACACACACACACACACACACACACACACACACACACACACACACACACACACACACAGGGCCCGATGTGCAGCTTCATGCAACGGCGAGCATCGGGGCTGTGTCTGCGTCGAGCTGGCTCCCCGTCACCCGCGACCAGTTGCAGTGCTCGACGAGTGTCATCAGCAACTGCAACTCGTACTCGTACAGCGTCGATTCAACCCCGGGCCACCTTGACGACTGGGCGCGCCTGTACGGTGGCGTGTCTGCTGGTGGTGGCTGGAGCCCCAACACGAACGATGCCGACCCGTACCTGCAGATGAACCTGGGCAATGTATACGTTGTCTCCGGCGTTGTCACACAGGGTGGGTCCTTGCACTCGTCTTTGCATGCTCTCAGTCTGTGGAGTCATGCTCATGCGTTTGCGTGTCGGTGTTTGCATTTTGGTGTTTGCGCGTCCATGCATCTGAGTGTGCATGCGCTACCGTAGACACTGTTCCTATGCCAACCTTGTCGTTTTGCCCAGACTACTGTGACGGATGTGCGTTTTAAGTCGCCCCCGCGCACACGGTCGTGTGGGCCTGTGCGCTCCGTCTTTCACAAACACCCGTGCCTTTCGCAACACCCTCACTCACTCACTCACTCACTCACTCACCCCCCTGTCCCCCCCCCACTCTCTCTCAACCCTTCCAACGCTACAGGCAACGAATTGACGCGGTACGTCGTGCGGGAGTTTGAGGTCAAGTACTCGCTCGACTGCAGCACCTTCACCACATACGGCGAGGAGGGCGTCACGCGCACGTTCCTCGGCAGCACCAGCCCCACGCAGAAGGTGTTTACCCGCTTCAGACCCGTGCGTGCACGCTGCATTCGCATCTACCCGCTCGGCGGCACCGCCGTTGGCGCCCGCATGGACGTCCTCGGGTACGCCGAGACGCCAACAAGCAATAACCAGCTGCCCGTTCATCCATCGCCTCTTTTTGTCAACGGGTGAGTGGACCTGCAGCTGCAATGGATGTATTACTTCCGTCTGTGTCTTTGTCTGTGTGTCAGCGCACGCACACACATGTGTTTGTTGCACGCCGCTCTCTCCAACATAAACTATCTAGTTCTCTAAACGCCCCTTCATGTCCCTCCCAACCCCCAACCCCCCAACCGCCTTCGTCACATCCGTTTGCACCCCCCTCCCTCCCCCAACTATCATCCAGTTGCCCCGAGAGCCAGTTGCACCATGGCACGTCCAGTGCCACCATCACTCTTGATACCCCAACAGCTGTCGATCCCTCGGGCGCCGTGTTGCCCTCCACCGTTGCCGTCTGGCCGCAAGTTGGCGTGTCCAGCCCGTCCATGCCGGCCACTGTTGGCACAGGCACACACGCATTCACCTTCTCCGCCTCCGACGGCATCTACGCCACAGACACGTGCACCACGCAGGTGGTGGTGACGCCCAACATGCTCACGGAGACAAGCGGCCTGTGTCCAGCAGACATCACCATCACGGCAGACGTCGACCGCAACGACGCCGTCGTCTCCTTCACCGTGCAGAGTGGCCTGTCTGCATCCATCGCACCAGGGTCCCGCTTCCACCTTGGCGTGACAAAGGTGTTCCTGTACAGCGCGTCCGTCTACTGCAGCTTTACCGTCACCGTCAACCAACGTAAGATGGTTGCTTTGCTTTGTCATGCGGTGTTGCGTCGCGTTGTGTTGCGCTGTGTTTTACCAATGTCTTCTAATGTCACCTCTCAACCACACTTCCCCTCCCCCTTCCACGCTCACATCCCTCATTCTTGCATCTTAGGCACGAGAGCATCTGGTAACGGTGGGCCCGGAATTGTATACATGATCAGCGAGAAGTCGCTTGAGATTGACGCCGGGCGCGCCTTCCGCCAAACCAGCGTGGCCCCTGCTGACGATCACACAGCGTGGCTTGCAGACTACAAAGGTGTGCGTGTGTGTGTGCGGTGGTGTGGTTGTGTGTGCGTGTGTTTGAATGTCTTCATTCGCTGTCGGTCCCTTTCTGTTGCCCCATTACCTTCTGTCACCTTCCCTTCCTGCCACCTTTACGCGCCTGCCCTCCTTTGCTTTCAACCCTTGTTTCTTCTCTCACTCAACACACCACTCATCCCACGCACCTCGCATCCACACACTCATCTCACCCCAACACACCTCCCACCATACTCATCCTTAACACCCCCCCCCCCACTTCTCCCAACCCCAACCACAACCCCAAACATTCCCTTACAGACACCGCGTTCCTGTACGATCCGGCGTACTGGTCGAGCAAAGTGGACCACCTGATCATCCGCGAGGGCGGCCTGGTGGTTGTGGAGGGCGGCAGCGCCACCGCCTCCTTCACCTCCATTGATGGGCAGACGGGCGTCTTCCACGTCATGGAGTCACAGAAGGTCGAGGTGCTCACCCTGCTCGATTCCCGCGCCATTGTGGGACCGAGGGCAGAGCTCGTGCTCAAGGGCTCTGGTGCAGTGGACGTGTCGGGCACTCTCGACGTCGCTGGCAAGCTCACCGTGCCCAACACACCGGCCCTGTCCTTCTCCCGCATGGGAAGCGGCGTGACCCTGCACGCAACATCCCCCACAACGCAGCTGCGCACGGCCTCGCTCTCGCTGAGCGACACCAAGTTCACTGTTCTGCGCAGCAGCCCGACCACAGCATGGACGCTCGCATCCACACTCGCCACGTCCCTCGTTCGCTCCTTGCTCACCATCGACGGCGCCGTTGATTTCAGCGCCGCAGATGTGACCGTTGACTCGTCCTCCTCCCTCGCGTTGGATGCACAGCGCTCGCAACCTACCACGCACCGTATCCAGTGGTCGCCGACCGCCGGCTGGCAGGACCTCAACATCCACTACGGCGACACGGTCGAGTGGGTGTGGCAGAACGAGGAGCACCACATCACTGAGCAGGGCGGCGCGTTTTCCAGTGGCGCCTCTCCCACGCGCAGCGGTGTCCTGCGGCACACCTTCAACGCCATTGGCATGTTCAGCTTCAAGGACTCCGCGCTGCCGGCCACCACCAGCACGGTCGTCGTTGATTTCGGCTTCTGGTCTACACCGACCACCAGCGTGGACCTCGCCTCCCTCACCGTGCAGGCATCGTCCCATGTCCGCCTTGGCGGCTGCACCTTCGATGTCCTTGCCGTCACTCTGGCCTCTTCGTCGTCCCTGCGCGTGGACGTGAACGGCACAACCAAGATCAACACGCTGAGCGCAGCAGACTCAACCGTGTACTTCTACCACCCCGTGTCGTGGTACACTGCCGCCGGCGGCCGCTCGCAGTCCATCACCCTCTCGTCGCCGGGGTCCCCAGGTGCAGTCATGTACTGGGACTACGTCGCTTACCTGCGTGACGATGGTGTATTCACGGACACGTCTATGGTGGGCATTGACTTCTGGACCGTGGGCTCAGGCTGCACCATGTATCCTGGTCTCACCCGCGTCGACCTCGACTTTGTCGACACGCTCACCATCAACGGCCGCATGGACCTTACGTTCAACGACTACGAGGAGCAGGTACCCGTGCAGACGCTTGCTGTCGGCGGTACCAGCTACATCAACGTGCCCGTCACCCTGCACCGCCTCAAGGACATGTCCGTGGGCGGGCTCCTCGTCTTTGACAACATCGCCCACGCCACCAGCAGCGACAACAGCTCCGTCTTCGACACCACTTACGTCTCCACCATCGGCGCCACCATCGATGACGTCAGCATCACCGTCAGCGGCACGTGGCAGGCCGGCCACGTCAACGTTCGCGCGGGGTCGTTCCGCCTCACCAGCGGCAACGCGGCCGTCACCATGCTCGTCAAGGACGATCTGCTTCGCGTCGACGACCTGTACTCCAACGGCCGCCTCACCGTCTACAACCGCGTTGTGTTCCGTGCACAGGACGGCACGTCGCCGATGACCTCGTTTGCCATTGGCGGCTCCGGCGCCGTGTCCATCGACGACGACGACGACTGGCTGCCCGCCGGCTCATCGCTGCACGCGGACGCCGTCTCCAGCGCCGGTACCTTCACCGCCCGCCTGCTTGAGCTTGTTGCCGCGTCCACCTCCATCTCGGGCGGAACCACAACCATGCGTGCCAAGAACGACATTGCGTGCACCACCACCCTCAGCGTTGGCGGCAGGCTGTTCATCGACAACCAGCTCACCATCCGCGCCAGGGACTGCACCAGCAACCTCACCTCCGCCTCTGTCGGCTCCTCGGGCGTCCTCACCCTCGACTACGTCGCGCAGACTAGCAACGCGCCCGGCGTTTGGTCAACAGCGACAGGCTCCTCCCTGCACACGGACCTGCTCTCCGTGTCCGGCACCTTCCGTGCGGGCCTGGTGGAGCTTGAGGGCGGCACCCTCACCGTCGGCACCGGTGGCGCCATCACCATGGAGGCTACTGCCGATCGCGTGCACTTCACACGCGCCACAATCGGCGGAGACGTGGACATCCGAAACCCCGTGCACGTGCACGCCCGCAACAAGGTGGACCGCATGGACTTCTTCACCATCACTGCCTCAGGCAGCGTCACCCTGGACACTGTTGGCCACGCCACGGGCACCAAGGCGTGGTCGCAGCCCACCGTGTCCCACGTGCACACCGCTACCATGCGCGTGGACGGCGTGTTGAGCGCTGGCCAGTACGAGACGTACCTGGAGGGCACGAATGACCTCGTCGTCGGCGGCACCATGACATTTGATCCGCCATCTCTCGGCCACGTCATCCGGTACCAGACCATCTCCGTCTCGGGCACGCTGACGGTGGAGAAGCCCATCAACCTCACCACAACACACAGCTTGTCCATCACCAGCAGCGCCGGTATCATCACCCTCGACAACGAGCGCCACACGGCAGATGACGCGCCGGCGTGGGAAGCCTTCCCGCCCTCGGTGCTCGGCAGCACCATTTACACACTCGACGTGAGCATCAACGGCCGCTTCAAGGCCGGCTACCTCTGGCTGCGGGCGGACTCCCTCAGCATCGGTTCCACAGGCGTCATGACCTTTGATGCTGCCAACCAACAGCGCGCCTGGGTCCGCTCCGTCAATGTGGCGGGTACACTCAGCGTCTTGCGCCCCGTGCGCTTCCGTAACCAGGACGGCAGCAGTCGCATGGACGGCTTCTCGCTCACGCACTCTGGAACCGTCACCCTCGACGTTCTTGGTCACAATACCCCCAAGCACGTCTGGACTGGCAACACCAGCTCTCTCATCTACACCCAGAGCCTGATCGTGGCCGGGCGCCTGAACGCGGGCCGGCTGGAGAGCATCATGCCGGGCGTGCACACGCTTGAAGTACGCAGGACCGTCGTGTCGCCCACGTCCACAGTCAACGGCGTGTTCACCTTTGACCCCGTCAACATTGGCGATCCGGCCCTCTTCTACTCCGTCACCGTCAACGGCATCATGACTGTTCGCCGCCCCGTCAACTTTGACATAACGCAGACCGTGTCCGTGGGCGGCACGCTCACCCTGGACGACGACGGGCACCAGGGCGTGCCAACCGTGCCCTGGGACCAGTACAAGGAATCTGTGATTGGCCGCGTTGTGGACGACGTCACCGTCTCCGTCTCCGGCCGCATGGACGGCGGATACCTCGCGCTCAGGGCGGCGCAGGTCACCGTCAGTGGCACGCTCACCTTTGACGCCTTCGACTTCCAGGCACACGTTGACAGCATGGACGTGAGCGGTGAGGTTTCGGTGCGGCGCCAGGTTCGCATCCGCAACCAGGACCGCACATCTCGCGCCACGTCTTTGGACGTGCACCACGGTGGCACCATGACCCTCGATAGCCTTGGCCATGCTACCCAGGATCACACATGGACAGCCAATGCGTCGTCCCTGTTGCACTTTGAGAGCATCAGTGTTGATGGCCGACTCGACGCCGGTCGCCTCGAATGCGTCTTCCCACCCGTTGACACACTCACCGTGGGTCGGACCCTCGTCAGCAGCAGCCCCGATTCGTACGACCGCGGCGTGTTTACGTTTGACCCCAACTTCGTCTCTGCACCCGCGCTCTTCACCAGCATCACTGTTGCAGGCGAAATGCATGTCAGGCGCCCGGTCAACCTCAACACCACCTCCACCATCGACGTGTCCGGCCTAGTTGTCCTCGACGTTGACGGCCACGCCGCGTCGCCGCGCGCGTGGTACGCGTATGAGCCGTCCCGCATTGGCACGACCGTCGACAATGTGTACATCCGCATCAAGGACGGTACCTTCAACGCGGGCCTGTTTGAGCTTCGCGCCAACCTGGTGGAGCTGCTCCCGCTGCCGTGGACGTCGGGCTCAAGCTCTGGCGTGCATCGCAGGTCCAAGCTCACCTTTGACGCGTTTGAGCACCTCGCCCGTGTTGACCAATGGAACATCACCGGCACCGTCGAGGCGTGGCGCCACGTCAACATGCGCAGCCAAAACGCGGGGGTCATGATCGGCCTCACCGTTGACGTCGGCAGCACCTTGAACCTGGACCAGGTCACCCGCCAAGCCGGCGCAACCTTCACGGGCGAGTCGTCCATGGCCATCAACGACTTCTACGTCAAAGGCACGTACCGCGCCGGTAAGATGGCCGTGGCCAACCCCGTCCAGCCGTGGTGGACCCACATGTACGTGTCTGGCTACTTCGAGTTTCTCCCGAGTCGCCTGTACGACATCAACACGTGTCGCATCGCCAACAACGGCCGCGTCCACGCACTGGAGCCGCTCGGCCGCGCGTCAGAGTGG